GACATGAATAGACACTTCACCAAAGAAGATATTCAGGTGGCCAACAAACACATGAAGAGATGTTCACAATCATTAGCCATTAGAGAGATGCAGATCAAAATAACAGTGAGACACCAGCTGGCCCCAGCATTAATAGCAAAGTTCAACAAGACAGAAAATAACAATGCTGATGAGGATGTGGAGATATTGGGAATCTCATACACTGATGGTGGGACTGTCAAATGATGCAACCTCTGTGCAAAGCAGTATGGTGAGTTCTTAAAAAGTTGTCATTAGAAATACCATTTGACCCAGCAACCCCATTAATAGGTATCTATCCCAAAGAAGTGAGAGGCAGGACAAGAACAGATACATGCACACCCATGTTCATCGCACCACAATTTACAAAAGCCAAAAGATGGAGACAATCTAGGTGCCCATCAACAGAAGAATGGATAACCGCACTATGGTACATACACACAATGGAATGCCATGCAACACTAAACAATAATGTAGAATCTGCCAAACAACAAAAAAACATGGATGAAGTTGGAGGACAATATGCTGAGTGAAATAAATCAATCACAGGACAGATATAGTTATTAGTCTGTTATTGTAAAAAGTCAAGGAAAGGTTTGTACATGGAAGAAAACTTTCTTTGTTGGTTACCAAGGGTGGGAGTGGGGAGGAGAGGAAACACTGCAAAAATAAAAATAAAATATTAAAGCTGACAAACTGGACTGGAAATCCTTGTCTGAAAATCTCATTCCTTTTTCTGTCATCAGAACAGAAAGATCCATTGAGATACAGCTGCTAAGATGTCGGCAAGCCTAGATGATCTCATACACAATGCCAAGGTGTAAACTCCTCTATTACCCATTTTAATACCCAGTTGTTGAAGTTATACCAATGCACAGAAGATGAAATATTTTGAACCTTCTGAGTGACTTACCTTGTAAATAAAGGAGTCAATGAACATGAAGTACTCAAATCTTCTTCCCTGGATTTACATATGTACTTCTACATTGCCAATGACCTTTCTTTTTTTGTACCTGCTATTTTCCCTACCCTGATTTCCATCCCACATCTTAACTTTGGTGG